GTCCATCACTTCAGGCAAATCATTTATGAATATTAAAAATAATATACATCCGAGGACGCTTCCTTGAGGTATTGAATTTATTAATTTTGAATGTTGAGATCTTACTGTTTTTATTTTTCCAGTTTGATTATTTACATGGTCTATTTGTACATATTGGGATCGATTTGTGAGATAAGAGGTAAACCATTTATAAGCGGGACCTCTTACTCCTATGTTGTATAATTTTTTCAATAACGTTTTGTATTGGACGCAGTCATAAGCCTTACTCATATCGAGCAAAATGCCTACGGCATATTCTTTGTTGTTTATGATATTAATTATTTCGTTAATATACTTGAAGACTGCTAATGAAGTTGACCGATTTTTCCTAAAACCATACTGATGCTCGCTGAAGATATTGTATTTTTCGCAAAATGAATATAGACGGTCACACATTGCAGTTTCAAATATTTTGAAAACGTTGGTAACAAAGAAATGGGACGATAATTATTTATATCTAATTTTTCACCTTTTTTATAAATTGGTTTGATTAGGAGATTTTCAGAGGGTCTGGGACTATACCTTCTGTAAATGACTGGTTAATAAGTAAGGTTAAAATAGGCGTCAATTCTTCAGCACATTTTTTAATTAAGACAGGTGGAAACTCATCGTAGCCATAGCTACGCTTATTTTTTAGTTTTTTTATAATAGTTTGAATTTCTTTTAAGTCCACCGGTTTGAGATACATAGAGTTTTCGATGGTGCTACTCATACATTTATTTAATTGTAATGGCTGACTTTGGTTTACATTATCATTTCCAATAGAAGCAAAAAACTGATTAAATGAGTTTGCTATTTTTGTGGGATTGTCTGTGATATTATTTTCAATTTTTAATTTTATATTTTTTTTAATATTTCGAATACTTTTATTTGTATTTTCCCTAACTATAGACCACATTGTTTTAATTTTATTTTCAGATTTCTTTATTCTTTGAATATTTTGAAACTTTTTTTTTGATAATTTAACTGATTTTTTCAAAATTTTTTCATATTGTTTGTAATTTTGATTTAAAATAGGACTATCAATTTTACAAATAAATTTTTTTAACAAACGTTTATTTTTACATGATGTTTTTATTCCTTTCGTTAACCAAGATTTATTTTTCTTATTTTTAATTGCTATTGTAATTTTAGGTATACATTTATTTAATATTTCCTGTAATGTTTCTATAAATATACTATAATTTTGATGTATATTTTTATTTATATCGATTATTTTGTTCCATTTAACATTACTTAGTTCAAATTTAAATTTTTGTATATTTTTTTCATTGAATATCCTTTTATCTAAGTACCAACATTTTTTTATTTTATTTTTATCTGTCGGTATAGTCATTAATATACCTTTATGATCTGAGAAACCATATTCATGAATTTTTAACTGGAAATTACTTTTATGGAAATTTGCAAAAATGAGGTCTATACATGTAGAACTTTTGTTCGTTATTCTGGTAGGCTCATTCACATATTGATGGAAGTCCGAACACCTCATAAGATCTAATAGATAATTAGATGAAGATGATTCTAAAATATTTATATTGAAATCTCCTCCTATAACTACATTCCTTTTATTATATTTTATTTGTAACAACTGTAAGAGATCTTCCAGTGATTTATAGAATATCTCTGGCATTCTGTTTTTATTTGGCCAATATAAATTAATTAATATTAAGTTCATTTTAGGTATCTCTATTCCACTTAACTCAATAATTGACTCAATAGACAAATCCACAACATCCTTAAGCTCCTTACACTCTATATCTTCTTTCAGTAAGATACATACTCCTCCTCCTTCTTGGTTACTCCGACAGTATGCTGAAACCAACTTAAAACCATCCATATGTAGTAAGTCCAATTTTCTTTCCGTGATCCAAGTTTCTGATAGGCAGAGAGCTTGTAAATTTCCATCTTCCTCGATTGCGGCTTCCAGAAAATGTTTTTTATTTTTTATGCTTCTTATATTTTGGTATAATATATTGAATTTATTTTCGAAATGTTTTTTGCATAGAAGATGTTTCAGGATTACTTGCAGATAAGGAGAGTCTGGCGGTTGCTTCATTGTTTAATTTCCGATTATTTTTTTGTTTTAGGTCAATTGAACTAGTATTAAGTGTATTAAGTGTATTATATTCTCTACCATCGATTATTAGCTTATTATTTATAATATTTGCTCGATGACCATTACGTCGAGCATCAATAAGGATTTCTATATATTTTTTCCTATTTTGTAGCATCTCGTCATCTAAAAATTCAGATATAGACAGACCAGTGTGCTTGAAAAGACGTCTATTTTGAAGTATATGTTTGGTTATATTTTTACTTAACAATTCGATTACTACTGGTCTTGCATGGTTTTTCTTCCGATTCTCTTTATGTCTTCAATATAGGTAGTTACATTTATATTCAATATTTCGTGAAATATATATACAATTCGGTCAAATAATTCATTATAGTTTTCCCATTCTTGTTCACTAAGACCATAAAGGACTACTTTCTTTTTTATATCGGTTATATTACTTTCAGATTGCGAGAAATTTAAATTACACTTTGCAATTTGTTCCTGTATTTCTTGTAGTTGTTTACAAAGTTTTGTATTTTCTGCTTCCAGTTTAATTATCGTTTTGTTCATTTTATTAATATCTTTTTTGAGGCTATCCTGTTCGCTTGATAAAAGACTTGTAGTTTTTGTTAACTCTAATTTCAATTTTGAGATTTCACAGGTAGTTACTGAGATTATTGTTGACCTTATATCACTCAATAAAGATTGTTTTATTTTTTCTAACTTCGTATCCAGAAGTACACTCAAGTCTGTCGAATTCACTGTAAGATTGGTAGATTCGGCTGGATTTTTCGTATGGTATAATGCTAAGTTACTTTGTTTTTGAATATTTTCAGCTTCCAGTGTATCTCCTAATATACTAAGATCCACATCCGAGCATGATGATACATTTATACGATTACATTTCTTCCTTGTTGTGACGAAATCCTCACCAAACTCAGAGGTTTCCTTCAAGGATACGTTGGAATGCAATGATCTAATAGGAGTATTTGTGTTGTCTGTTTTTGGCTTTTGACAACGGCATATTTGACAACTCCAAGATGCCTTGTGTTCCTTAGTCATTGTATTTAGGAATCTTTGAATAGAAACATTGGAACATTCGAGGTCATAATTCTTTTTGCGTAAAATACATTCATCAATCTTTTCATACACACTCACCAGTTATGGGTACTTTTAATTTGCCCCTTCTTCAGCACATCGCCTATTTGGTCAACATATGTCCATCTAGGGTGGCCCCTACCGACATCTCCATTCATTCTTGCTCGATAAATCTCTTTCGTAATTCTTCTTTCATCCATCCTCTCCAAATGACCAAACTAATGCAACATTCCTTTTATGTGTGAATAAATAATGTTAAACAAATAACTCGATCACTAAATCTAAAACCATTTTATTGAATCTTATTTGTACTAATGTGTTTTCTGTAATTTCCAATATCCAGTGCTACAAGCGAAACTTAAACAATTATTAATTAGACTCAAAAAACTCAGAATATAGCGTAGGCACCAATGTGATTTTCTCTAAGTATGCTGTTTGTAGAATAATCAACTTACAACTGGCAGTAATTATGATAAAAAAAAGAGGATCAATATGCAATAATTGTTTCAAATTTATACCAAATTTGTCAGTATAATATTTATTATTATAAAATTCTTTGAATACACAGCTGGTGTACGGGTTTCAATAATTCTACAAAATTAATTCATAATTTATACCTTTAGAAATTAAGCACCAGCAACACTACGTTGATTTGTCGTTATTTTCCTGTTCTTCGATATATTAAAAATAGGTATTTTTATTACAATAGTGTTGAAAGTGAGCAATTAAATACAATTAGAAATAAACGAAACCACAGACCAAGTAATCACTATAGAGATTAAATGTCATTATTGACAAACTGACAATACAGACTGACAACTTGGATAGTGTTACCTAAGAAGTTAACGATGATAATCGATTTTAAATTAATAATTTGATTTAAGACTAATATAATCTATATGTTCTCCTTTAACCAAATGTTGTCTTTTGTACCTTTATATGTATATTGTATTCTGTATTTCATGCTACTGTATTTCAGTTGAATTGTTTTATATGTCATTGTTTATTTTTGTTTTTGGTGTAATAAAGAGTTAAATAAATAAATAATCAAAAATTAAATAAATATCAATATTTTCGCAGTATAAACAACTATTACATATTTCTTAGGTAATAGTTCTATTTGTACATTAGTTGCACAAAAGGTAATTTTTGAGAGGAGGTGTGGGCAGGAAATGCCAAAATGCCATATATTTACTCGGTTAATACTTTTGAATTTTATTATTTAATTAATTTTTTTTTAATATTATTTTGTATAAATCCTGTATTTTTATTTTATTCTGGGAACCGTTTTTGTTTTTTTTTCTTTTTGGTTTGCCACTTAGAATGACACTCAAGCTTACAGCCCACCTAATGGAAAGTAATAACCGTCGCTTATAGACATGAGCAGTACCATGGACATGACCGAGTATACTTCATGATACCCTCAATAGGTTGCCATTCTTGAGGACTCAGATGTTATTCCTCTGTACCCTGTAAATTCACTGCTATATCCTATCCTTCAAACCGAAATACAGCCATGCAAACATAACTGCTCCACGGTAGAAACACGAATATGACAAATGTGCTCAAGCAAACGACTTTTGTACAGTCTCCTTTTTTTAGCTAAGCTTTGTCAACTTGTTATAATAAATATTTAAAACCTACTTCAATTGAAAAAATGAAATAAAACTTAACTAATTTGGTTTTAATCTCATCCTATTGAAAAAGTATTAACTTGGTTATATTTGACTAAGATTGACTATATTGGATCAAAGTAGCTATAAATTATTCGTTTTAATATTGAGTTATCTGTTGACTCAACTGTTCGATACATCACTAATTTATTTCATTTGATCTATTTGATCGCTAATTTTTTTTTGTCTTAGTATTATCGCACAAGTTTTTAATTTCTAAAATAATGTCGTGATATGAAATAATAGAAAAACTTGCTTCTACTTTTATTATCATTATAGAGTTTCGCAATTTACGTGAGATTTACCGTGCTGTGTTGTGTTTGCTAAACGTGGAACTCTCCACCGGCTGATTTTTTAAATATTTTTATTGTGATTTTTTGTGCATATGTAATGGGTGATAGAGACTGGAGACCGTTTGTTTACGGCGGTTTGGCGTCGATTGTCGCGGAATTTGGTAAGTTACAAAATTAATTAATTTATTTCAAACTAACCTCAAATCTAAATCCAAGTTTAATTTGATTATTTTCGAAGGGCTTTTAATATAATTAATTGACAAATTATAATAAAAATTTTAAGAGAGTCTGTCCTGATGTATTTATAGTAGATTTTTTCGTCAGATTACAGTAATTGCAATATCTACTTATAATTTAACTGTTATTGTTGGTGACCTTTGACTATTTGACCTTTCATTGTTATTTGTCATTTGATATCTATTAATTACTACTCTTTGTAATAATGTAATTAATTGTGGAAATTTGTTATTTAAATTTATCTGTTGTTGTGTAAATATTATTGTGCATGTTTTCATATATTTTTAATTTATCTAAGTCTTTATCTTATCTAAATTGTTATCTTTATAAATAAATACACTTTGTCATGATGTTAGTTCCGTCAGTGGATACCCATAGGGATGGTTGGAGCTGGGATGTATGGATAGGGATACTATTGAAAAGAAAAAAATATTTAAAAATTTTTTTTACAAGGGACTGGGACTTAGAAAATTTTTGATATAGCAAAAAAGTCTGAAACGTTTGGGCTCCTATAATTCAGAAATGGGGCGGTCCACAAAAAATGTCATATTAAATTATAAGTTTCTAATCATTTGTGTGAAATTGTTAAATCAATTTTAATGAAATATTGTAACTGTTTAGGTATTGTTTGTTCCAACTTGAGAGAGTGTAATTTTTTATCTTAATAAAAAAAAATGGATCTGACGATTTTGGATGGAGCAAAATAATTTTTAATCAGTAAGTTAGTGAATTAAGATGGATAAATATGGAGTGACCATGATGAATTCCAAGGGAGAAAATTCAGAGGTCCACCAAGTGGACTATATATATATATATATATATGGCTAGCTTGGCTATATTGAGGCCATTAGGGTAGCTAGGCTTCATTATAACAATTCCTTCCCCTTCCCATTTTTAATATTTTTTACATTTGATCTTATAAATTAAAAGTACCTAAAGTCTACTTCATATATAATGGTGAAACATAATGGACATCTTATAAACTTCACAAATGCACCACCTTTTCTACAATGTTTCTAGCAAATAAATTTCATTTCATTTCATTTCATTAATTTGGTCAAGTGTGCTAATATTGAAAACAAAAACTACAATAATTAAATTTTAAATTTTTTTGTTAAGTTTGTATGTTCAAGGCCTATCTATATCTTTGTTTGGAAAACTTGCACACATATTTGCATAATTTTTTCTTATCTTAAATATTATAATATATAATATACATGAGGATCAGACTGCAGGTGTGAGATTTTCAAATGGCTATATAATCTAAATCAGGGGCAGTCAACCGGTCGATCATGGCAAGGCTAACAATATTTTGCTAATCTTTGCTAATCTAATCTTAGTAATGGAGACTGAGAATCCCATTGCTAGCAATATACCCAACCAGGTCGATCTCCTCACGGTTCTCCCTGGAAACTATCATGGTTAATTCCTGATGAATTCATCATGATGGGCTAATTGGCCTGTTTTCATTCTCTTCGATCACGCTTCACTGGTGCTCCGCCAGTGTATCCCGTTAGTGCAGGCGGGGTTACCATACCATTTCCACCCATCAAAAAAAAATCTAGTGCAAGATGCTCAGATGCAATGCTCACACTAATATAAATAAGTAGTTACTAAAAATAATTTGCAGTTTTATGTATACTTGATATGTATTAAGGATGGTTCGCGAAGTGATAACAACTGGTATGCAAGAATACTGGTTTATTACTGACAGCGCATTAAGTCTCCCATTACTAATATATATGTAGGTAGATATAATTATGCTCATTATTATTAAAAGAGGGTAGCAGATACATCATCTTTCCACCCTAATTTTGAAACCTGTTGGAAAAACAAACAATACTTTATTAGGGTGCCTGTCCATGCCTAATAAGTACATTTTACATCTAATAATATCTTAATACTAAACAAAATAAACTAGGCCTTCACTTAAAGAAAACTGTATAATCTACTTTCTTTCTAGGCCGTTTGGAACGTCCGGGTGACGATTGTATGGTGACTGGATTCTGAATGGTAGATGTAGTTTGAGGTATCTGAACCTCCGGTTCCTGTCCCACCAAATCCTCGCCCTCACGTTCCACCACTCTACAGACATTACCATCAGAATGAACAATACAATCTGCTACGTTTGTGGCTGGCACTTCGTTATCTTCCGCACCCCCCACCGAAGATGTGTTAACCAGGTTTTGCTCATTCAGTTGTTGTGGTAATACTGATACCGTAGGGGGTGGTGAAAATGACGGAGTCCCCTGGCCGTACACAGGACAAGGGTGGATGTTTTGTGGCTTACTTCTCCCATTATCAATGGTTTTTCCGCACTTGTAGTGTATTATTTGATCTAAGTGTCTAACACATGTAGTATTTAGATCATCAATGTGTACCTTAAATAATCTATTACCAATAGTGTCTACAATTACACCTAATTTCCAATATTTCTTTCTAGCACTGTACCAGCGCGCCAATACCCTGTCACCATTTTTAAAAAATCTACTGGGTTTTGCTTTATTCCTGTCGCTGTTTTCACTATACGAATATTTATGTTTTGTAGGCAGTACTAAATCAAGTCGAGATCTTAGATTTCTACCAAACATTAATTTTGCGGGTGATTGACCTGTAGAACAGTGTATGGTGTTTCTGTACTCAAATATATAACCCATTAATTTTTCATTGAGCGAACACTGGTTTGAGGTCTCTTTTAAAACTATTTTTAACATTTTTTTACATGTACGGACAGAGTTTTCCGCTTGCCCATTGCTACATGGGTGGTAAATTGGAGAAGTAATATATTTAATACCATTACTGGAACAAAATTCATTAAATTCTTTACAATTTATTTTGACGTCGTTATCTGAAACTAATGTGTTAGGTATACCGAAAACTGAAAAAATTTGTTTTAATTTAGTTATAAGTGCTTGAGTGGTGAGGCCGGCGCTCATGTGAATACACTCTAGCCATTTTGAGAACGAGTCAATAACTACTAGGTACACCCGTTGCCCTACAGACAGGTAGTCAATGTGAACTCGATGCCAAGGTGCGTGTGGACGCGGCCAGGGCGCGGGCGCGGCGCGCGCCGGTGAGGTACGTACGCTGGCGCACTGCTCGCACGCGCCGCACCAACGCTCGATGTCGCCGTCTATACCTGGCCACCACATCCTACCGCGCGCGTTACACTTCATTTTAACTATACCTAAGTGTGTACTGTGCAGTTCATGTAACATCCGTTCACGCAATGCTGACGGAATTATAACTTTATGACCGCGCATTAAAACCTCATTTTCAAATTGTAAATCAGTCCTACATTGAAAAAATGGAATAATTGATTTACATTTTATTTTACGCGGCCACCCCACTTTCATGTACTTGATTACAGTTTGTAATGTCTTATCTTTCTTAGTCGCCTCTTTTACATTGTTAAACAGTACCGCCGATGAAGCCGCGTCTAAAAAATTTATGGCACAGTATGCGTCATACTCTTTGTCGCTTTCACATATTGTTTCCGAAACCGGTGCACGAGAAAAATAATCCGCAACTACATTTTTTTCACTACTAATATAATGAACAACATAATTGTATGCCGACAAAATAATAGCATACCTTTGCAGTCGTAGCGCGGTCGTAGTCGGAATTCCCGTTTTAACATTAAATATCGAGACTAGCGGTCGATGATCTGTCTTAAGAACGAACGGCTCACTTCGACCATACAAATATTGATGAAAATGTTTCACTCCGAATATTATTGCCGTAGCCTCTTTCTGTATTTGGCTGTAATTCCGTTCGTTCTTCGAGAGTGAACGAGAACCGAAAGCCAGTGGACGCTCGCGACCTTCACTGTCAAGCTGTGATAAGACCGCCCCGAGGCCAGTGGGCCCCGCGTCCACGGTGAGCACTAGCTGCGCCGCCGGGTCAAAGTGCGCCAGCACCCGTTCCGAGGCGAGCTCAGCGCGCACGCGGCGCACAGCGAGCCGCTGCCGCTCGCCCCACTCCCACTTAGCGCCGTCCCGTAGCAACTCGTGAAGCGGGCTCATAATACTCGACGCATTCCGTATAAAATTTCTATAATAATTAATTACACCTAAGAATCTTTTTACTTCAGTAACATTCGTAGGTTTGGGAGAATTCATTATAGCTTTTACTTTCTCTGGACTTGTACGTAAACCATTTTTATCAATTACGTACCCTAGGTATGTAACGTTTTCTTTCAAAAACTCACACTTATCTTTTTGTAATCGTAAACCGGCGTCGTCTAATCTGCTCAGTACTTGTTCTAGCCTTTCTAAATGTTTATCTTTTGTGGAAGCTGTTATACAGATGTCATCTAACCAGATACTTACACCTTCGATGCCCGACAACACTATTTCGATCGATTTTTGAAATACAGCTGGTGCGTTAGCGAGGCCGTAAACAAGTCGCGTATATTTAAATAGCCCTTTCGGTGTATTTATTGTCGTAAGTTCTTGTGAATCGTCTGATAGTAAAAATTGATTATATGCATTTTTTAAATCAATTTTGGAGAATTGTTCACCTCCACCAAGTTTTGCAAATACCTCCTCGATCCTTGGTAAAGGATATTTATCAATTAATAAATCTTTATTCAATGTAACAGAGTAATCGCCGGCAATTTTTACTGTACCATCTTTTTTTAACACCGGTACAATAGGCGTTGCGTAACGCGAATTACTAACTGGAATCAATATACCTAGATTTACCAGTCTATTTAATTCTAATACTACCTTATCTTTTAGGGCAAAGGGTATAGGGCGAGCCTTGAAAAATTTTGGAACCGCGTTTTCCCTTAATTGTAGATGAACTTTAAACTTGTTAAAGCTGCCGAGCTCATCTCGCCATAGGTTAGGGTAACGTTCCAGTAATGTGTTTACATCAATATCATAACTCAAGGTATTAATATTTGTAGTTAACACAAGATCGAAGGTGGACATAAAATCACGACCCAGTAGAGGAGGGCCGGTCGAATCTACTACAAATATTTTCAACGTTTTTGTTTTCTTATTAAATATGGCCTTAGTTACAAAATACCCTAAAGGTGAAATTTTATGTCCATTATACAAACACATTTTAATATTGCTATACATTAATTTATGCATTGAGAACATGTCGTTATACATATTTTTTGAAATGACTGATGCACCTGATCCAGAGTCTAATTCCATGGTCACGAACTTATTACTTAACATCAAATCTATACGTATCGGCTTATTATTAATTACATACCTTAAATTAAAGTTTTGGCACTCGTCACATCCGGTGTCGCTATCCGAATCATTTTTTCCGATTTGATTTACGTAAACATGTTCGTTTTTATTTTTTTTGTTACACATCTTTTTTAAATGCCCTTTAATACCGCACTTTTGACATTTGTAATTTTTATAACGGCACTTATCTTCACTGTGATTTTTCATACCACATACTAAACACTGTATTTCGTGATTATATTTACATTGATCGCGGCTAGCCTGCGACGTCCACGCCGCACGTGAATTCGCGACGCCGCCATTTTTACTGCCGCCACCGCCATTTTTACTGCCGCCACCGCCATTACCGCCGTAATTTCTCCTTGCAGATCCGTACGATAACTTATATATCGCTTCTTCCTTCACAGCCACTGAGTCTGATACGAATGCCTTTGCATCCCTAGCACATTCTGCCTTTTCCGCGATTTCAATGGCACGTGCTAACTTCAACTCGGAAACGTTTTGTTCAAACAATTTATCGCGTTCAGGACCTGGACCCAGACCTAGGACGAAACGGTCCGTGAGATTTGTATCCAAGGCAACACCAAAGTCACAGTAACTTGCTAAACCTCTTAGTCGTGCCGCCCAGTCTCCTAGTGACTCCCCGCAGTTTCTTGTTGCGGAATAAAATTTTGCTCTGTCGGCGAATGAACACTGTTTCGGCTTAAAATGGCTGTCGAGTAATAACACCAGGTTTTCAAAACTTTGCGTCTCCAGTTCTTCAGGATAGGCTAGGTTACGCACTAGACGGTATGAGTTGTCCGATAAATGCGTAATCAATATTGCACATTTACAGTCATCTTTCACATTATTCACTTTTAAAAATTGAATTAATCGACCTTTAAAAATAGACCATTCACAGTTTTTATAGTCAAAAATAGGTATATTTCCTATAAAAGACATTTTTATTGTAGGTAGGATCGTCCTCGTCGCCACTGATATGTATTAAGGATGGTTCGCGAAGTGATAACAACTGGTATGCAAGAATACTGGTTTATTACTGACAGCGCATTAAGTCTCCCATTACTAATATATATGTAGGTAGATATAATTATGCTCATTATTATTAAAAGAGGGTAGCAGATACATCAATACTACATTATTGTGTACTGAACAATTCGTTTGAGACTTCAAAAAGTATGTAATTGGTAGATCACTCAGGGTTTTGTCAGTAAACAGTAGATCTTGGGTCTAGTCAAATCGGCTACCCCTGCTCTAAATTGAGCTAATAAATAATTGATGTTAACTCCAAGGCAATACCTAAGATGTAATTTTTGCTAAAAATAACACAAAAGTTATCTAAGAATCAGGTTTCTATTTCTATTCACAGTTTAGAGCCATGTCATATAACCTTTGTATCATGCATAAAATTTCTCTTTGGCCTATACATATAAATAGAGACATGTTTGTACATAATGTAAGCCCTGACTCACTCCAGCTACAAAATATAAAGGTACCTATTTGGAATATAAAGTAATATGTAAATTAATATAGGTACCTTCCCAATCGACACAACAAAAACTCGACTCCAGGTTCAGGGGCAGAAGATTGATCCGAGACATGTGGAGCTGCGGTATACGGGCATGGTGGACTGCTTTATAAAGACATCGCAGCAGGAAGGAGTCAAAGCCTTGTATTGTGGGTAAGGGTGTGTCCATTTTGTGTCATTGTGGTACACACAAACCACTTCAGTGTTTGTTGCCCTTTTATGTTTTTTTGTGTGTTGTTTGGGTTTATTTTTGTTGATATGTATGTAAATACATAGATAAATTAATTATTTATCTAAGATACTAATTATGTCCATACAATCAACAATGTAGTTGAGGTGTTGTTGATTAAATTATACATTATGGTAACATCATTAAATTAATGCATGCGCCATCTTGTCAATTAATAATTAGAATAATAATAAAAGCATTATTAAAATATGAAAGTCATATTCAAATAATACTATATATATATATATATATATATATATATATATATATATATATATATATATATATATATAGTGCGCCACTTACTCTTTGTCTTTTTTCACAATGTCCTGAACCCAAAGGTTGTTTGGAAGAGATTGCTTAGCGATAAGGCCGCCTTTTGTATCACTTCTCATTAAAATTAACTGTTTTTTTTATAAATGATGCAATAAAGTGTAAATATAAATAAAATAAAATAAACTATGTGATGATGATAACACCAGTGACAAATCAAATTTTTTATCATTATAGTTTATATCCACGATGTACTTAATATAAATAAATGCAATTCTATAGTACTAGTTTCACATAAAAGTTGTTTAAAAAGGTATAATTTATTACAGCATATGGCCGGCAGTACTGCGGCAAGCTACATATGGCACTATAAAGTTTGGCACGTATTACTCCATGAAGAAGGCAATAGCGAAGCACCGAGCCGACGGTGGCACCAAGGAGCACCTGCTGACCAATACATTTTGTGCAGCGTTCGCTGGAGGCCTGTCTAGCGCCATTGCCAATCCTACTGATGTATTAAAAGTTCGAATGCAGGTACTTGCTGTCACATATACTTTTAATTTTGCATTGAAATTGGTGAACTGTTGAGGTTTGTCTCGTAATAATTGGTCAGCAAGGGTTGGCAGTACGTAATTGCTACCACTATTAATATAAATATTTATGTTCCACTCTACACTCTTATGTTGTCAACCCTTGTGACTATCAAATAATATGCAACACAGTTTTAATATTATAATAGTAAAGTTACTGAATTTTTTTTTTATGCAACTTCGAATGGCAAACATGCTAACGGCCCATCTGATGGAAAGTGGTAAATGTTGTCTATAGACACAAACAGCACCATGGAAAAACAGTATACTGTACTGTCTATGATACCTCCCATGTTTTTCAATTTCTGAGGACTAAAGTGTTATGCCTCTGTATTTTGTAGTTTCATTGCCTCATATCTCGCTCGTCGTGTGGTCCCTGCATAGAATAGGCCACCCCTTCCTTTCCCTTGAATGTCGTAAAAGGTGACTAAGAGAGGGCGAGAGATGGGCAGCACTGTCCCTCTTAAAACATAAAGCCTAATTGCGGTTGTCAATCCACCGTTGCCAAGTGTAGCAACTACTGGCAAAATCCCCCAAAAGATAGGCTTATGTTCTGGGCAGTTAAAGGCAGAAGCACAAATAGAACAGAGGTATCCAAGCAGATGATTTTTTGTACAAGGTCTGCATCTAGTAAAAATATATTATTTATTTTAATATGCAGTAATTTTCTTGTTATAAGTATTTTTTTTTTTAATTTGTTTACGGCTGTACAATTAGTAGCTCAGTAACAGAAGTATACGACACGAGTCTTCAACCAAATTAGTTATCTGAGATTTTGTTTAATCGCTTTTAGGTAGTCCATCGTTCTGGCCCATTAGGCGTTATCTGTTCGGACATTGTACTGTTTTATTGTAGCTCATTAATATCCTATTATTTAGCACAGTGATTCTCAACCTTTTTTTTTTGTTGCGGCACATATTTAACGATTTCAAAATTTGGCGGCACACAAAGGAAAAGATAAAAAGTATTTACTTATTACAACACACTGCGTAAATAGTTTATGACAAAAATTATAAATACTTGCAATTTGGCGGCACACTTTTAAAATTTGGCGGCACACTTTTAAAATTTGGCGGCACACAAAAGTGCCGCGGCACAGTGGTTGAGAATCACTTATTTAGCAGGTATTTGACATACTGCCATATGTCAAGCTGTTATAATATTGGTAATTTTTTTATAAAGAGATTTGGTTTGTTATTGTGACAGAAAACGGTGAAAGGTCGCTCGTAGTCCTTCCGCGGGTTAGGAGTGCCGTTTGCATTCGCTTGATTTATTATCTAGTGATGTTTTAAAAGCCATCTGCGGCCAACAGCATAGAGTGTTTTCTTTTATACAACTTAGAATGGCAAATAAGCTGACGGCCCACCTGATGGAAAGTGGTAACCGTTGCCTATAGACATGAGCAGTACCATGAACATAACAGAGTATACTGTTTCGTCCGTGATACCCCCCATGTGTTGCCACTCCTGAGGACTCAGGTGTTATTCCTCTGTACCCAGTAAATTCACGCCATATCCCACCTTTCAAACCGAAACACAGCCATGCAAACACAACTGCTTCACGGTTGAAACACGAATGGGACAGAGGTATTCAAGCAATCGACTTTTGTACAAAGTCTCCCTCTGGTATCTCTCTCTATTCGAAAAAAGGAAGAACATTTGATCGTGTGGTCCCGGTATAGAACGGGCCACCTTTTCCGTGGGTGTCGTAGGAGGCGACTAGGGTCGGGGGATGGGCAGCAGTGTTGTTTTGAAACTACACTGCCGGTGTGTGGTGAGCGGTGTGTGGTGGGCGGTGGCCGCAGACGGGCACGGAGCGCGGCGGCGTGGCGCGGTGCGCGGCGGCGACGTGGCGGCGCGAGGGCGCGCGCGGGCTGTGGCGCGGCGCGGGCGCGACGGCGCAGCGCGCGGCCGTGATCGCGGCCGTGGAGCTGCCCGCGTACGACGCCTGCAAGCGCCGCCTGCTGCCCGCGCTCGGCGACGCGCCGCCCAACCACCTCGCCTCCAGCCTGCTCGCCAGCCTCGGCAGCGCCGTCGCCAGCACGCCGCTCGACGTCGTCCGGGTCGCTATACATTACATCACATTACATCGCAACACATCGCAATACAGCGCATTACATCACATCCACATCCACATCAATACCCACATCCACATCACCATCCGCATTCACATTCACATCCATATCCGCATCCACATTCATATCCGCATCCACATCATCATCCGCATCCACATTCCCATCCACATCCACATCTACATCACCATCCGCATCCACATTCACATAGATAGATAGATAGATAATTTTATTTGCATTACTTACAGCACACAAATTACAACATACATACACAAAAAAAAGCGAGATAACATAAATGGCAAAAAATACATAAAACCAAATGCAACTTTCGTTTGTGAGTGTGCCATAGCTATACAAAATGGCCACAACTCAGTTTATTGCTTCGCCCTCAAAAAAGCAAAGCACTGATATTCTGTTGCGGCCAAAGGGAATAGGGTAACAATAAAATAATACTACCAGATTATCCGTACAA